ACACACACACACACACACACACACACACACACACACACACACACACACACACACATCACACACACACACACACACACACACACACACACACACCCTTTTCCCATCGGCAAACACGTTCGTGCATGCGTGTGCAATTTTTCCTTCCCCTGTCTTTCCACCCCTGCATCCTCACCACCTTTTCAATCCCTTCCCTCCCTGTTCGTCATCCCGCCCACAATTCCTTTCCCGACAGGAGATGCGCCATCGCCCCGCCACGACAGTGACCGCCATGCGTGCTCCACTCGTCCTCGGCATATTCGGTGATGATGATGTTGGGATTTGCCTGCAGGCATGAACGCAAACGGCTTTTGAGTAGCCCTGATGTTCTGTCGCTGGCAGCTCACTGAAACTCACGCATGCACATGCACGCGCGTGCACACACATGTACAGATCTGTGCATCGAGTACATGGTCAGCCACATGTCGCGAAGCTTTGACGTCGACGCATACACGTGAGCTGGTGGCGAGCATGAATCGTTCAACGGAAAGGGGGCTGTCCGAGTCTCAATCAAGCCTGTTCACGCTCAAAACCTCCTCTGCTAATTCAAGCACACTCTGCTACAACATATACTTTCACTTACCCTCACACTCACACCCTCACACTCACACCCTTCGATGCGGGTCCCCTCCCCTCTCCTTCCTTTCACAACACACGCCCCCCCGGTCCAATTGTGTGCGCCCGCGTGCCAGCCGGTGCCTGGAGGTGGTGCACCGGCTGCTGTGCTACCAGAAGACGCATCTCGTCCGCCTCAACTACGAGTGGGCAAACCTCTGGTCCGCACTCTCGGCGCTCTTCAAGTTTGTCATCCAGGTAAGCGTGTGTGTATGTGAATGCGTGTGTGTGTGTGTGTGTGTGTGTGTGTGTGTGTGTGTGTGTGTGTGTGTGTGTGTGTGTGTGTGTGTGTGTGTGTGTGTGTGTGTGTGTGAGTGAGTGAGTGAGTGTGTGTGTGTGTGTGTGTGTGTGTGTGTGTGTGTGTTCAATTTCGTGCATGGTTGGCCACCTTGTCACCTTGTATCATAACACATGTTCTCAAGAAGACCACACTATCAACGCCAACAACATGTCTGATTCGCGAAGCACTGGCGAGTACACGACAGGGTTTGTTCACTCTGCAGGATCCAAGTCAGGTATGATACACAAACCACACGCGCACACGCGTTGCCTTGCTTGTATGCGTGTGCGAGAGTACGTGACTTTGTTTGTCTCCTTCTGTCATGTCCCTCTGTCTCTCTGTCTGTGTCCCTCTGTCTCTGTCTGTCTCTCTCTCTCACGTTTAAACGTTCAATCGCACCCCATTGGTGTTTGCAGACAAGAAGGCCGGCGTGATTGGCCTGTGCATGTTTGAGCTGCGGCGTCTCGGGTAAGGTCAAACACAAACACCGCATCATGGTTTCTGCTGCACACATACCTTCCCCCACCCGTGTCGTTCCTTCTCTCCCTTTTTGTCTCTCGCATGCTCCCTCATCGAGCACATCCTTTACACTCCACCCTGGCTACGTCGTCACCACAGCCACATTGGCGACATTGCGCTCGTGGGCACAAACGGCACCAAGTTCCCGGGCATCCGCAAGCATCTCAAGGAAAACATCTCGGACGTCTACAACGGCCTCGGTAAGTGTGTGTGTGTGTGTGTGTGCGTGCGTGTGTGTGTGTATGTGTGTGTGTATGTGTGCGCGCGCGTTGTGTTGTGTTGTGTTGTGTTGTGTTGTGTTGGGTTGTGTTGTGCTGTGTTCTTGATGAATCACCAACAGGCTCACCTCCTCATCTGCCCTTTCTCACCAGACGTGAGCGTGACCACCTTCCCCAACGATGACGTGCAGCGCGACGTTGAAGCATGTGCGTCCAATTGCATAATGCAAACCTTGCGTGGCTTGTGAGCTTGTGTGAATCCACACAGACTTGCGCGCACGCACACACGCTGAAATGTGCCTCGTTTCCCCTCCTCACGTCCTCCTCACGTCTTTCCCATGAACCCCACCCCCCAAACCCCCACACTTCATTGGGTGCAGACAAGCGAGCGCTGGACGGGCTACGGCCTGGCGACGTGACGACCATCTTCACGCCCGACCCGACGCACTTTGAGATTGCCAAGTACGCCATTGAGCGCGGGGTGCACGTGCTGGTGACAAAGCCAGCGGTGATGACGCTCGAGCACCACCACCAGCTCGTCGCCCTCGCCCGCAAGCACAACGTCCTCGTCATGGTCGAGTTCCACAAGGTGATGCCGCTGCTGCTGCGTGCGTGCGCGTGTGTGGTGTGGGGGAGGGCAGGGGGTGTATCATTACGTGTATCGTCGTGTATGATGTGTCTGTGTGTGTGTCTGTGTGGTGTCATTAACAGTGTGCTACATTCTTCGTCTAATCTCTACACATACACCAATGACCTCACACGGGTCCACAACTCTATCCCCCTGTTGCCAGCGGTGGGATCCGATCTATGTCGATGCGCGGAACCGTGCCCGCGCCCTGGGCGACTTCAGCTACTTCAACAGCTTCATGTCCCAGCCAAAGTACCAGCTCGAGGTGCGTGCACAGTGGTGGTGGTGGTGGTGGTGGTGGTGGTGGTGGTGGTGTCACATGTCGTGGTTGTTTCTGGTTCTTTCGTGCTTATGTTCTGCAATGGTTTGTAGACCTTCAAGGCGTGGGCGGGAAAAACGTCGGATATCAGGTGAGGCGTGTGAGGTGTGTGAGGGAAGTATGTGTGTGTGTGTGAAGTGCGTGTGTGTGTGTGTGTGTGTGTGCAGGTAGCTAAGCCCCTGTTTTCATGGTCTCTCACTTTCGCACACTCATTTTCAACCACCCACACACACTCTCTCTCCCTTGACCCCTGCAGCTACTATCTGAACAGCCACCACATTGACATGCACGCGTGGATGGTTGAGGGCCGTGCTGTGCCCACGCGCGTCGTCGCCTCCGCAGCCACTGGCGTCGCAGAATCACACCCGTACAACTGCCCACAGGGTACGCGTGTGCACGATACCTTGGTGGCTTGCAGGGGTGGAATGAACGGGGTGGTTGTGATGGAAATTAGCGTTTGCAGGGTAGCA